TTTTCTAATGCATACTACTGTGCCCAAAAAGTAAGATCAATTATTTTTTTTTCAAAAACTGCTTATTTATTCTTCCAAATTTATTTCACAGCCTTCAAAGTAATCCCCTCCGGACACAATGCAATTATGCCACCTTTTTTTCCAATCCTCAATGCATGCTAAAAGGTCATCGCCAGGGATGGCCTTCAAAGCGCGCGCCGATTCACGCTCAATCTCTTCAATCGACTCAAAACGGTTTCCCCGGAGTGGTCTTTTGAATTAAGGGAATAGCCAGAAGTCGCACGATGTCAATAGGGTGGTTGTGGAATGATATGGGTTTCATTCTTGGCGAAAAAGTCACGAAGAATAAAATGGAATTGACCGATCCTTTTGAAATTCCAACATCATCAGCAAGGTCTCTAATTGTAAATCAACGGTTTGCAAGCAACAAACGTGAGCTTCATCGGTTGAGTTGGATGGTCGACCAGAGCGCTCTTCGTCTTCAATGCGCCCTCTGCTTCTTTGAGCTTCTTATTCCACTTGTAAACATTTGACGTGTTTGAGGCCCAAAACATCTTTTAAAATAGAATTTTGAAATTTTAACATCAGCAGCAAGGTCTCTAATTTTAAATCGACGATTTGCAAGCGCCAAATCTTTAAATCTTTTTACATGAGCTTCGACGGTTGAGGTTGGTGGTTGAACAGAAAGCTCTTCGTCTTCAACAAATTCTCTGCCTTCTTTGAATTGTTTTTACCACTTCTAAACATTTCTTTCCGTTATAGGAATGCTCACCGAATGCCTTCTGCAACATTCTATACATTTCCACAAAGAAAATTCAATGCAAGTTCTTTGCTCAATAAATTCAGACATTTCAAAAATCGCGGAATCCGTTTTAGCGCCTCACAAAGCCAAGTGTAACTCAAACACTAATGAATATTTAGACCCACAGATATCAAGGACAGTGCCAGCAACCTAAGAAAGTAAAAACAATTGAAATTCCATATGCCCCGGGAATTTTAAATTGAAAATTGGTCTTACCTTTTGGACACAGTAGTATCCCACTTTAAGCGGATTTTATTTTGAAATACATAATTAGAATAAAAGATTCGAGTAAAAAAGTTATGTTTATGAAGAAGTTTTTTTCCTCATTTGATATTTTTTCAGCAGGTCATTATCGGTATCCAAAAATCGCAATCATGGCATTTCGTCTTGTCTTTGAACTCCTATCAAAATTTAAGCCAGTTTGTAAGTGGCTAAATGTGATTTCAGAAAATTCTTCGAAACCTCCATTAGTTCCTCATCTCCAGAAACGCTAATTTCATTAACTTCGTCCACTTGTTCTTTTCGTGGATCAGTTTTAATTGTGTGCAAGCCAGCCTATGAATGGAGGAAGGTTCGATTTACACTAACGGCGAGTATTACAAGAAATGCTTTTAATACAGAAGATACCCACTGGCTGGCTGCGCAATGTTTCTGGGTTTTCCCCTGTAAGACACGTGACTATTGTTACCTCTAATAGTCCTTCAAGAAGGTATTTCTTCTACCGATCACATAATATTTATGATATAAAGCAGGGGGAGGGGCCAACCCAAATGATCTTGCGACCCACTTTGGAAATGAATCCTAACTCCACAGGCCGCATATAAAATTATATATCCCCACATTAGATTTAGACCCTCTATAGACATTTTTGAAACATAATGAGTTATTATTATTCTTACATGTAGATAATATAATAGCAATGATACTAAAAACACGTTATAAAGAAATATATAGCACTAAAAATGAAATATAAAAAGTAAATAAATAAATAAAACGAAATCATTAAAAAATATTTATTTTAGTAGTGCGATATATGTTTCTTCAGTCTTTCGTCGATCTCCATTTGGGTATTTGCACATCGTAATGGGTGTTGCAGGTGAGCGTCCGTTATGTATAGTATGAGCGTGTTTTGTGTTTGGTCAAATTCATTTTCGAAGAAAAAAAAAGCGATTCGCAGTTGTAAATTGAACCCAAATAGCTAACAACTTTTTGTGGCAGATTTCTCAAACTGGAATATTTCTCTTTTGTTACGTTAGTGTTATAAAAATCAATTTTAAATTTTGATGCATGAAAAATGTGTTTTAATTCAATATTGCATTGTAAGTCAAAAAGTTCCATTTAGAGATATTCTGAAGCCGACCCGATTTCAGAATGAAATATTTTGTTGTATTTGTTTAACTATAAATTACTGAATTGGCTTTCAAAAGCAGTTGTAAGGTTTCTTATTTCTTTTGCGTATTTAATGTAATTTTGAATATATGGATGCATAATGTATTTTTTTAATACATTGATAATCACATTTTTTTTCACTTTGGCCATTATAAAATAAATATTTTGTAAAAGTAGGATACATCTCACGGCAAAAATTCAAAATCTCATTTTTCAAAAAAAAAAAAAAAAAAAAAAAAGAAAATGGGCCGATGATATCTATTTTTTTTTTTGAAAAAAAAAAAAAAAAAATTATTCTTAAAAAACCCTTCCTCCTCCCAATCAAGATTAAAAAAAACTTTGAAGGCAAATTAGATCTTTATTTTTCACTTTTCTTAGTTTTCTTAATATATTTTTTTCTCACTATAGTAGCTCCCGATCGACATTTATCAAATTTCTCAATAACTCTTGTCAAACATTTTTTTTTCCTATCCTGATGATTTTGAAAAGAAAGTAGATAATAATAATAATAATAATAAAATCCATAGGAAACATAACGAAGAATAAAACAAAATTTAATTTTTCTTTTCGAAGAAAATCGAAAATCGAAAAAAAAAAAAAAAAAATTTGTTCCTGATATTCGTTTTTGAATTGATTGCGACAAAAGATTCGCTGAATTTTCTCCGCAGTTATTTTAAGAGGATATGGAGTGAAGTCTTCTTCTTTTTCTTACTTTCAATTGATATCTACGAAGAACTTAAAAGACTGCAATGTCGTACAACTTAAAACACAATTATAAGTGATCGCCGGATGAATAATTTATTTAATCATACCAAAAAATATGTAATCAGTTAGACAAAACACAAAATACAAAAATGCCACTTTATATATTTAATTTGCTTAACAAGGGCCTGATGGCCGAATATGCAGCACACTGGCGCTCGGTACTATAGGGTTCGAGTCCCGATGATGACGAGTTGGAGTTCGAGTCCCGATGATGACATGGATGTTTGCATTGGTTCGGAATCCCTTTTAAACCGTAGGGGTCTAATAGGATCATCGCGTGTTGCGGGGGTAGTGCCACTCGTGTCCGTAGCCTATCTTCAAGCTACACGTGCCCCGGGTAGTGCTAAATGAGTAATGTCGGTGCTGCCTTTACTTTATGGCATAAAGATTAACTATCTCTGTTTTGCCAGCTGCATTAGAGAAAAAAAATTACATAGCAGAAATTAAGAAAAACCCATCAAAATTGGTATTTTGATTCCAATCAGCGAAAACATCAATCAAACAATGCTTAACAATTAATATATGAAATAATTTTTTTGTAATGCACCTAGCAAAGACTTAGACGGTTATCTTTATGCCATAAGCAAGGGCTGCGCTGACGTTACTCACTTAGCACTACCCAGGGGACACGTGCAGCTTGAAGATACACTACGGACGCGAGTCACACTACAGAAAGAATATACCATATTTGGACCTTTAAGTATTCTTCAAAATAATGCTACGATATCCATTTTCATTCTCATATATAGATTAATCCTATATATTTTATGATATTTAAATAGATGTTGAGAATTATTAAAGAAATTAACATCGTCCCATATACGAACTGACGAAATGGAAGAATCTACTATATTTTTAATAAATCACTCATGTCAAAAATGAATCTATAGAAATGTAGCCAAATCTATACATAGAGAAACAGATCATTAGTTCGGTTCTTTCTGCTGTCGTCTTCCAAGAGAGACAGAAATAGAGACAAAGACGCAGAAATTCATTAATTCGCGTAATTCATTTACCTCTGCGTAACATGAGGACTCCGGCGAAGTAATTTTGGCCATCTCGAATTGCAGCGATGATAATTAAAAAGAAGGAAGCTCCCATGACAAGTTGGGGGGGGTAACAAACACGAACCTCCTTCCATGTTCATCAGTCTAAATAAAAAAAAAAGGAATGACTCTGTTGTCCCCCTCTCCCCCCTACTTTCTTTGGAAAAGTTATCTCAGCACCAGTGGGGAGCTTTCAGTGTGGTATCATTCTAATTGGGAAGATCTGGAGTGCTATTGTGTTTCTTTGAGGAGATCTTTCGGCTTTGGAATAGGCTGGATTCATTAATTTTAGAAATGAGCCCACGTGTATGATTAGGATTAACAAAAAGGAAAAAAAAAAAAAAAAAGAACTTGAAATATAATTAGAATTCAAACTTTGTAATTTTTCCTTACCTTTATTGGATGCGGTGTAAATAGAACAAGGATTCCGATGAAGCTTGTATAAAATTTTAATTAAAAAGGTAGTTTCATTTCGTGATGCATATCAGTTAATAGGGTAAGGGAAGGAAAGGATTACAGGAATACCTCCCTGGATTACTGTCATGAGTAAGCGTTACTTCGCTGTTAATGATACGGAAGATTCCTGAAAAAATCAGTCTGCACAGCTTTAATATTGGTCCGAGAAACATCTCAAACGCACTGCAGCATATGTACCACAAAAAGATATGGAAGTATTTAATTTTGGAGTTAATTATATATATATATATTATATTGTTGTTGTTGTTTCTTATCCCACTTGGCTGGCCAAGCCCACGAGCCCATACGTGCTCATGATTGAAGGGGAAGGAAGCAGCTTCTGTTGTGATGGAGCACCCGTAGGTAGAAGTCTGACTTTTTCTCCGTGACGCTCTTACAGTCATAGGAGACCGGGACCTACGGCTTAAAGTGGATTCCGAGCCACTACAAACATCCATGGCACCGCCGGGATTCGAACCCGAAACCTGTGGCACCGAGCGCCAGAGCGCTAGACACTCGGCCATTCAGGTCCCAAATTTGCCAACGGCATGTGGTGTTCCCAGGTGGTCACCCACCCAAGTACTGACCGCGCCCAATGATGCTTGACTTCGGTGATCTAACGAGAACCGGTATATTCAGCATGGTATGGCCGTTGGCACATTATTATATATATATATATATATATATATATATTTGTGATATTTGTATCGTGTTCTTCTTATGCATGTTATGAGGAAGAGAGGAGAACAGTGTTTTCTGGGTGGATCTATATTCATTTTTTTGTGTGTGCTGCAAAGGTGTTTCTCCTGCACCACTTACAATGAACAGACCACTGATGGCTGACAGTGGGAGGAATGCCTTCCTGGTGACTTATCCATTTATTTGTTCAGTTATTTTTGAGAGTGCTAAAAGGGTGAGTATGTGCAGAAACGATGAGCTTCTACCACTTATAACGAACAGCCCACCGAGGCATGACGATGAAGAGTGGACTTCTCCATTAATTTGTGACTAAGGATATGACAGAATCTACTATATTTGGACCTTTATGTGTTATAGTTTTAAAATATTGCTACAAAATACATTTCCATTTTTTTATATATAGATTAATACTATTTATTTTACAATATTTATGAACATTTATCATTATTAAAAAAATAAACAAACAAATATCCATATACGAACTGAGGAAATTGAAGGATCTACAATATTTTTAATAAATCACTCAAAAATCATGGTGTCAAAAATGAATGTATGGAAATGTAGCCAAATTTATACATAGAGAAATGGATCATTAGTTTGGTTCTTTCTCCTTCTTCTCTCCCAAGAGAGGCAGAAAGAGAAACAAAGACGCAGAAATTCATTAATTCGCGTAATTCATTTACCTCTGCGTAACATGAGGACTCCGGCGAAGTAATTTTGCCCATCTCGAATTGCAATGATGATAATTAAAAGAAGGAAGCTCCCACGACAAGTTGAAGGGGGTAACAAACGCGAACCTCCTTCCATGTTCCTTAGTCTAGATGAAAAAAAATGAGTAACTCTGATGTCCCCCTCTCCCCCTACTCTCTTTGGGGAAGTTATTTCAGTACCAGTGGGGAGCTTTCAGTGTGGTATTATTCTAATTGGGAACATCTGGAGTGCTATTGTGTGTCTTGCAGGAGGTATTTCAGCTTTGGAACATGTTGGATTCATTAATTTTAGAAATGAGCCCACGTGTATGATTAGGATTAGCAAAAAGAAAAAAAAAACTTGAAATGTAATTAGAATTGGAACTTTGTAATTTTTTCTTACCTTTATTGGGTGCGGTGGAAATAGAACAATGATTCCGATGAAGCTTGTATGAAATTTTAATGAAAAAGATAGTTTCCTTTTGTGGAACATATCAGTTAATAGGGGAAAGGAAAGAGTAGGATTACTGGATTGCCTTCCTGGTTTACTGTCATGGGTAAGCATTTCTTCATTGTTAATCACACTGAAGATGATTGGAAAAATCAGTCTGGAACAGCTTGAATATTGATTCAAGAAGCAGCTCAAACACACTGTCACAACTGCCGTCGAGTATGCTTGCTTCTGAAGATAGCTTTGATTGCAGCATAGGTACCACATACACAAAAAATATGGAAGCATTTTATTTAGGGGGTTAAGTATTTATTTTTTTGTTGTTGAACATCGTTCGTTTCATGTTCCACTTATGCATGCCAGGGCTAAAAGTTAATTAAAACAACTATATTAGTATAAAACTTGCCTATATTAGTATAAAAAAGGAAACCATAATTAATATTTTCAGCATTTAATAAGAAAATCCTACCCCTACACTTAAATGATTTGAAGTCATAAATATTAAAACATTAGATTTGGTTGAAAAATTAAGCACAATTAAGTCTGTTCGACGAATAATTAATGGTACGTGATATTACATGAGGCACTTAAGTGATATATTTTTAATACTTGAGTGGCACATGATGTACTTAAGTAGTACATTACTTAATGAAGTGGCATATGAGGTACTTAAGGGGTATATGAGGAACTTAACTGGTACAATATTTATATTGAACATGAGGTTCTTAAGTGGTACATTACTTAATACATAGTGTATGAGGTACTTAAGCAGTACATTACTTAAGGAAGTGGCATATGAGGTACTTAAGTGGTACATTACTTAATATTGTGGCACACGAGGCACTTAAATGGTATATTTCTTAATACTTGATTGGTACATGAGGTGATTAAGTAGTATATTACTTAATAAATTGGTATATGAGATATTTAAGTGGTACATAGCTTAAGTGATAAATGATCTACTTAAGCTGTACATGAGGCGGTAATTACGTACGTGGTGCATTACTTAATACTTAAGTGGTATATGAGTTCCACCAACGTTCGTCGAAAAAAAGTTATTGCTGTTGCTTCAAACTTAAGACTTTCACTGTGATTTTATACAACAGATGAGAAACTAATTTCAAAAATAAATATAAATTAAGTAAATCTAAGAAATAATTTTTATTTCGACACATTTTAAACACATCAGACCTCTCATTAATTCCTTCCAGTTTAACATCTGTTTCGGGCCTTACATGCAAGATTCACGCTCAAACAAGCGCATCAAAAGAGAAAAAAAAAAAGGTTTTTGCTTGCTCAAGTGCAGTTTTAAAAGCAAAGAATTATTGCCGCTTGCCTGTATCAGCTGGTTGCGAGAGATTTATGGAGCATTCTTTTGTGCTCAAGCTTTTGTTATTTTTTAAAAAATAAACTGACTAATAAAAAATTGAATTTTATAGGGTGTTCAAAGGGAGGAAATATTTCGCCTAGACAATTCTTTTCTGACATGATTTCTTTAGAGGTATTACTTAGTTGTTCCTGACTGACAACTTAGTGGTAATGTGCGCAGCTACCAAGCAGTAAGTCTTTGGTTTGAATTCTCTGACGGTACCCGTAGACGATGACGATTTGTAGGTTGACGGAGCTCCTTGGTTGCTGGGTAACCGCTAACACCTTCTTTGCATAAGAAAGGGAAGTTACTTTAGTTTTAAGACCATTGCATTAAAAATAAACACTTAATATAGAGATATTAATATATGGAGAAGAGAAGTTTTTTTTCTTTTCAATAAAGTATTTAATAATTATTAATTATAATTTAATAATTAAAATAATAAAGCAAAAAGAGGATTTTAAAGAATTACAAAATAACGTAGTTTGAAAGAGAACTTAAAAATAAAAATACTTTCAATAGATTAATCTAAATCAAAAAGGAGTACAAGTTAAAAATAACAAAAACGTTTCAGAGCAGTCTGTCGTACCCGTAGATGCAATAGAATAGATATATAAAAGATATTATCTAGCTGTTTCTGAGTGGTAATTTAGTTGAAATGGGCGCAGCTACCTCTGACGGTAACCGTAGATGTACTAGAATAGGTATATTAGAGTAGGAGTGGCCAACCAAAATAATCTTTTGAGCCACTTTGGAAATGCATCCTAACTCCACGGGCTGCATACAAAATTATTATATATCCGACTATTTGATTTAGACCCACTGTTGACCTTTTTTGGAGTGAAAAAAATTGAAACATAATGAGTTATTATTTTTGTGTTTACATAGATAACATAGACATACATAGGTGAAGTTTACAAGTTTACATAGGTGACATAGATAACATAGATGAGGTTGTAAACATAGACGGATAATAATGATGCTAAATGCACATTATAAAGAAATATATAACACTAAAAATGAAATATAAAAAATACATCAATATAAACGAAATGAAATCATTAAAAAATATTTGTTTTCCTAGTGCGATACTTGTTTCTCCACTCTTTCACTGAGCTTTTGCAAATCGATCTCCATTTGGGTATTGGCACATCGTAATGGGTGTTACAGGTTAGCATCCGTTATGTTTGGTCAATTTTATTTTAGAAAAAAAAATGTTGCTCTGCTATCAACAATCAACTGTTCTTATTTAGAGATGGTCACTACGTTATTGAGGTAACTTAAAGTGAAACATAGTACCTGTTATTGCAGAATATCGCAGAATCGCATAGATAAATATAATTTAGTTATTCTGCAAACACATCACTATAAATTCATCAATAAAACAGACAATATCTGTCCTATATTTGCAAGAATATTATTTTAAAATCAAAGTTAAATTTTTTTCATCCTTTCGACAGTTTATTTTTGAATAGAAGGATACACACATAATGCATTTCTTTAATGCATCGGTTTTCACTACTTTGGCCACTCTACAATAAATATATTTTGTAAAAGTGTGATACATCTCACGGTCCGGAAAAATATTCAAGGCGGACCGCGTGTTGGTCAGCCATGTTTTAGAGCTATTACCTAGCTGTTCCTGACTGGTAGCTTAATGGTAATATGCACAGCTACCTTGCAGTAAGTCTCAGGTTTGAATCCTTTAATTGTACCCACAGATGTACTAGAATAGGTATATTTGAGGTATAATTTATCTGTTTCTGTCGTAATAATGTAGTTAAAAAAATCAAATGTTTAATGTCCTATACGTCTGGAACAGTTCAAATACATTGGTGAAGGGATATAACTGTTGTATTGAATATTGATTTTCCGCGATATAAATCTGTTTGCTAATAATAACGAAGAAATGGAAGATTGTGATGATTATTTTATTTAATTAATTTATGGGCAGCAACTACTCAGTTAATTTAATTCAATAGGTACTTTGCAGTTATTTAAGCAAAATCACTTATTTTTTTGTTATTGATCGATATAAATAGCCACAAATTACAGAATATTTACGAAAAAAACATGGAAGTTCTTCGGTCCAATTATATTTATGTTGCCACATCTCATTAAGAACATCATTATTTGTCCCAAAAGAGAGTCCTTTAATTCACTTGGCCACACACTGATTAAAATAACTACAAGTGTCATTCTAATAACGAAATAAACAAAGCAATAAAGCGATGGCAACAGCTCTTTTCCATGTTATTACCAGCATTTATTTAATGGCTGACAATCAATAATAGTTTGTTGATTAGCATTCATAACACAGAATACAACAATCAAAATGTAAAAAATTCCTACGCATTTTACCAAATTGTTCTTTATTTACCATTTTTTTATCTACAAAGTTTTAGTCAGTTTATTAAAATTCCCTTGCTAGTTATTTGCAACAAGA